CAGAATTTTGATTTTGGTTTACCAATTACATGGTATGATTTACTACCAACTATGTATATTATAATGATTTCTGCATGTTTGTTACTTATGGCAAAGTGGAAACATTTTTCATAAAATTGTTCTTGATATATAAAAATTTATATATATATATATTTTTTTTTTTTTTTTTTTCATATTTGTTATTGTAACAGTAAAAACAGCAGTAGTGCACATTTTGTTAGTGCAATAATATTTTTTTAAAAAATTGCTGGAACAGCTTGGAACAAAAAACAACCATAAGTAATTTCCAGTTCAATCATGTTATCAGTAATTTTTTAATAAAGTATAAATTAACATCCACTCACAAAAAGGTTTATCCAAGGAAGATAATTCTGTTAACTGCTAATTACAGAGTTGTTTCCATGAGTTCTTTTAATGAGAAACTAAGAAGAATAAGATAAAATTTTTTAAATGTCCTCTCTCTCTCTCTCTCTCTCTCTCTCTCTCGTAGTTGTAATGTCAAACCAATGGCAATACTATAATAATAAATGATAATCACAGTTAAAAGAAGAGTATATTTACAGTGGCTGCACGGCTGCCACAAAAAATGTACAGACAACGCCATGACAACCCTCAGAATACATTGGGAAATATACAAAAAGTATGGTCTCAAGTGTGTAGGTAAGTGGTATGAGCATTCACCACTATCAGTAGCAGAGAATGAACAAGTGAAGCTCATATTGGATATGACCATCTTGACTGACAAGTGCTTGAAGAGCAATCACTGTGATATCACACTTGTACACAAGAGCAGTCATGAATGGTTCCTGATAGCCATTGCAGTACCTTGGGATAAGAACATTGTGAAGACAGAACATGCAAAAATACAGAAGTAATAAGACCTGGTAAGGAAAATTGGAGAAATTTACCAAGCTGGAGCTCAAGTTATTTTTTTGGGGGGGGGGTACTCAGGACAATTTCCAGGAATCTTTCTACCTCATGGGGTGCTTTGAGATACATAACATCATTGTGGGTGCACAGGTGGCAGCACTGCTTGGAACAGCTCATATGCTAAGGAATGTATTGTGCTTTGGGGATATAATCATTATCACTTGTCCAAAACATCTAAGAATCGGGGAGGATATTATTAACAGTAATAATAATAATGGTAACAATATAAACAACAGCAATAATTGTTGTTGATAATAATCATTATTATTCAGCTTAGTGATAAATAGCATTTGCAAATAATTATACTGTACATTCTATAAATAGAATTTTGAGTATCTATTAAAATGCATTTAACCTATTGGCCTTCATAACTACTTGTTCCCTCTAATTAGGCCTGGATCAAATTCTATAAGTGAAAACCATTATTGGGGAAAAGTAGTTTTAATACTGACAAAAGAATTGACACGTCTTAGATTTGATTTAGATTATATTTTGAACCTTTAAAAATTGATGGAAAGAGGGTAGGTATTTGAGTTGGGGATAGGATACTAACTTTCCAATATCTTTGTAGCTAGTTATTGTGAAAGCCATGTTAACTAAAGCATGTATCAAATACATAGCTGACAAAATTGTAAAACCATTTGTTATATAACATATTAATCTGTTAGAAGAGTACATATTTCATTTGAAGAATTGTCTGCTAAAATTACATTCAAATATTACATTATGTCTCTATTAAAGCATGGATGTGAAGAATTGATTTAGCTAATATTAGCTTTTGTGGGCTTGGTATTTTAAAGCAAAAAATAAAATCATTTTTGTGGCAACCATTATTAAGTTCTGGAGAAGATGTTGTTTGAATAGAATTTCCTTACCAGTGCAATATGAAAGGAATGAGGATGATTCAGTTCTGTGTACATGGTATGGCATGTCCTAGCTGTAAAGGTCTGAACATATGAAGCTAAGGAATGTAGCTAATCAGAACATTTTTCATAGAAATATTGATAAAGTAGTGATAGACATGTGATGTTACATCTGTGGGAAAAGGGGCTGCCAGGTGAAAAATAATTAATTGCTTACTAGGCTGCAAAAAAAAACAAAAAAAAACTTTAAAGTCTCTCAAGGCTGGAAAGTGACAATTGGGCAATCCAGCTTATGTATAGCAGCAATACTCTATTTTTAGTCTGATCTGTCGTGTAAAGATACAGGATGGCAGAAGTTGGATATTTCTGAAGTGGTACAAGGAGCCAACCATTTTTCCAGCATCTTTAATGCTGGAATGTATATATAAGTTCCACTTGAAATCTGTTTGTCTTTCATAGTCTTTCATAGTTTTAAGTCACCTTTACACAGTCTCCCTTTGGCAAACTAAACATTTTTAATAGTTTATAATCTTGAATTAAAAAGAAAAATCTCTGCAACATTAAAGACTGAGAATTTTATGAAATAGATTTTTTTTTAATACATGAACAGTATGTTGGAGATAATTGTTCATATTCATGATCCCTAACCTGTTTTGCTTTTAATTATTATTGAGATGGTTCAGGTGTAATGTTTTAAGGTGTCTAATTTTATATCTACCCAATATATGAACACCTTGTCAGCATTCTGATTAAAATGCAGGTTTCATTTGTTTTAATGATTGTATTGGGAATGAACTTTATAGTTTTGTAGTAGATTTGTTGCTGGTCTCTACAACTAATCTTCTTTTAAAGACTGTTGCTCAAATCTCCATGGTCTGCCAGTGTTTTTCTCCTGTATATCATGATGCTCAAATATTCTGAACTTATCCAGCTCATCAAACCATCTTATTTTTCTGCTGGTCCCAATTTATAATATAAAAGAGCTGATTCTCCGTTCATCACACACTATCTGCATGTGACTTTGCATGCACGTATGTAATGTATAAGCATATGTCTCTGTTGTGCATCATTAACTTGCACTATTTAATGTACACTCAAGCACATGCATACAATTTGTTTGAGTATGAAATAAGACATTGGAATTCCTCCCTCAGTGAATCTGGACAATCCCTACCATGGGCTGAGTAATGAAATCAAAGTTGGAGACGGAAAAAAAAGAAAAAACTCTAATAAAATTTTAAACCCTCCGAAAAATCAGATAACTATAGGATTTTATCCAAATCTTTTGGAATTTATTAGGTAATAAATAATATTATATTTTAAAGATTTTTTTTTTTTTTTTTTTAATATAAAGTTTGTGAGAGTTTTTTTGAGTCTGTCTAAATATACTTGTGTGCACATAAATGTATATATACATACAAAATTTGAATGAAATTGAAATAGACATCTTTGTTGCAAAGGCTAATTTCCCTTTCTACCTGGTTACAACCCCGGGATAACAAGAAAAGAGTATAAACTGAAAGGTACTGACCTTAGAAGTCATTTTTATGATTCCTCCTGTATTTAACCTAAATATATTTTCTAATAAATGTATTTTAAATGGCCACACAATTTACATTTGAAATGTAATGATCTTGCCATCAGTGAACCAACAGGTACCAGCTAGTTTTCAATAGCATGTTTTTTATTTATTTATATTTTACAGAAACAAATAAATTGTCAGTATTTTCAAAAGTATTTTCACTTATTTATTCAGTATTGACTTTGCCAATTACATTACACTATTAATGAGCTAATATCAGGGTTATTTCAATTAATTGCTTATCTCTTTATTCTTGTCCTTTATCTGGTTAATCCGTACAAGTTTTTATTCATTTGGTCACTAGGTTATCAGATTTGTGTGTTAAGCCATACTTTCAACTCTTGAGTTTATATATATGAATACATGACAAAATCTCTTAGCTTATTGTGACCCCAACAAATGCTGTCAAACTGAATTTTTGTGATGAGGCTTAACTAAACTCACAATAAAATGTGTTTAAAATATCTTTACCCATTTGGTTTACATCAATACAAGTATTATTAAACATTGATCATTATGCATTCGCCCATCACACGTTACAGGAAATTAGTTTGGAAATAATCTGACATATTTTCTCCTTTTTAAGTTTTTGATAATTTCAATTTGGGTTCAATGAGATGTAGGAAGCATAACTCAAGTTTATTTTTTAACTTCATATCCAAATCTTTTGGAATTTATTAGGTAATAAACAATACTATATTTTAAAGATTTTCTTTTTTTATTTATATAAAGTTTATTAGGTAATAAATAATATTATATTTTAAAGATTTTTTTTATTTATATAAAGTTTATGAAAAAATTTTAGGTCTGTCTAAATATACTTGTGTGCACATAAATGTATATATACACACAAAATTCGAATGAAATTGAAATAGACAATTGAAATAATGGTTAAACGTCTGTTGGACTTACTTTGTTGCACATCAGTAATATTTGTTCTTGTCTATCATTACAGCCAAAATGCTTCTGGTAAAATACTGACTACATCCTTCTCCTGATTTTGTCTATAAAGTAAATTATGTTCTTGTATCATAACCTTTCCAAATCCTGTAAGCTGGGCTACACCCTTCACCTTAAATACTGTTAATTGTTAAGCATTCTCCTTTTCCTATTTGCAAATTCATGCAATTAATCATCCTTAACACCTTTTTTTTTTATTTCACTTTTGAACTAACATGTTTAAAAAAAAGTTATTAATAAAATATTCCTTACAATTACAAGGTTATATGTATGTGTTCAGCGTTTACAAAATTTAATGATGTAGGTACTGTTTGTAAAGAAAATGGAATTACTGGTTGTTAGGGATGTTCAATAATTAACAACTCATTCATTTTTATTTGTTTTGTGCAGGAACATTTTTTTTCAGAATTTGTTCAGAAAAAGATATAAGCTTAAATATTTCCTAGATACATCTTCAAAGCAAATCTGATTGATTTCCTGTGCTTAAAGACAATATAATAAAAAAAAAAATCAATAAATATCTCCTCATCAAATAATGAAATCTAAGTTTGCTGTTGCCAAGTTGTAAATCATGCAATAACAGAATTATTTGTTTCTGTATAACTAAAGGTTAGAATAATGATCCCTGTACCAACTGGGTTCTTTAGTTACAGTTGAAATTGTTGATGGCTTTTGTTTATGTTTTATGCAGAAATAAACCTTCATCACTATTTTACTGTTCTGTCTTCTGCTCTCCTCTCCTTAGACTGCCTGTTTCTCGCCTTGCTTTATCTGTCAGTGTCTCTCTTTGCTTTTTGTCGATATCTCTCTTTGCTTTATCTGTCAATGTCACTTTTTTTCTCTTCCTTCACTTGAACTTCTATAAATACGGTGATTTTCTAAGTGTAGCTTAGATGTGGGACAAGTCTAGAAATTTGGGGCACTCAGTGAGGTTCGAACTCTGTACTCAATTGTAATTGTTCTAGTATGACAAGCTTGCTTACCATTTCTATAAATATTTGTGTATTTCTTCAGCAGCACTCCCCCCCCCTCCCCCAAATCTAGTACTGTATGTAACTATCTCCCTCCTCTTGGGCTGTCGCTGTTTTTGCTCTCTTAATGCTCTTTCTTTCTCCTTGTTTGTCATTTTTTTAACTGTCTATATTTCTTTGTACACATGCGCACACACACACACACAGACACACTGAAGTGCTGAAATTCCTAGGTATAGATTTATTATGCTATGTAGATAACAAAATTAAAAAAAGATTGTTGACTTTGACTAATCAATTTTGGGCCAATAAAGTTATTAAAATATATATATTTTTAAAGTTACACTCTTCACTGGGTCTACAATAACATGTGTCCATAAAAAAAATACATAAACAAAAAAATTATACAGTCACTTTGTTGTGTCCATTAAAAATGAATAAATAAAAATTAATTATAGTGTCAAAAATAATTATAATTATTGTTAATTCACTTTTTCTAAACCAATGAGAATCAATATCACTTTTCCTCTTCACGCACAAACAAATGATATCCTTACTATTGGACAGGCCGTCAACACAGGGGTTGAAAAAAATTTTGGCTCCTTTCCTTTTTCAGGCCACAATAGTAACATTAATCTCTTAACACTCAACAAAAATTTCAGTTAAAAAAACTCCAGACACTTCTTTTATTTTCCAACTAAATTATCTGGACACTCATTACACACATATATGAAAAAACATACGAGAAAGACTGTATACACTTTTTTTTTTATCTTATTCTGTCGGATTCTGATTCAGATTTGACCCCAAACTCACAATTTTACTCAGTATTACTGTCTCTTGTGTCACCAACACCACATAATAAGCAGATAATAAATAATACTCATTTTGTTGTTTCCACATCTTGCTGTTTCTCATTTTCTACATATACAATACAGGTAATAAATTCCATACACCGGGGTTGAATAAGACAGTTGTACTTTGTGTTGGTTGAAATTGATCTATCCCCATATAAGGTAACTTGGGGTTTTGTTGTGTAATAAAATTATATGTATATATATGGGGAGTTTTTAATTATTTACTCAATTATAACTCCCCTACACATACTTAACAAGTTTGACTGAAAGGATTGCAGAATAAGGACAGTGAGGGCTGATAAGGGGCAGGGGAGGAAGTTGTAGAGAGTCATTATCACTTACTTCCTGAAGGGATATAGTATATAAAATAAGAAAATCCAATAAGTAATGTCTGAAATCAAAATGCTTTATTTAATCCAGCCTAGCCAAAAATGATTTATTCATTAAGCTGTTTGTGTGATAAATGGGATCTGTTTTATTTATCACAATCTTTATAATAATAAAAAATGATAATAATTAAGTATTCTTTCAAATTCATGCTTTTAGATATTTCTGGAAGATAATTATTTAAATGATACTAAAGTCAATGTTATTTGCATTGGTAAAAAGGCTGGAAAATTTCTTATCTAAGTAATATGAACTTGATGCATATGCTCTGAATGGCAAGTTTTACACAATGCTAAGCGATAAAACTTTCATCACTCTGCAGTTGTCACTTTCTGTTAGATTTTATGGTATCCTGTATCAGTTTATAACAACTTGACCTTTCTACTCCAAACTCCATGTGGGCAACATGTCATAATAAATTTCAACAGGAGATTGGCTTCTCTATCCCCAACACCACCAAATAATTATATTTTGTATAAGTTTCTATGCCTCTGGGACCCAGGTTATATTTTTTTCCTTTTTAGCAGCTGGTTCAGGAATTGGAGTTTAATAGGTGTTTAAACTGGCTTCTCAAGGCCCACTTTCCTTAAGTAAGTGTAAAATGTAAAGAAATTTTTTCATTTTTATTTACTACAGTAATTTTCATTGAATGTGAACAGGGCATTTTTTTGTTCATCTACTATTGTATCTTTTTTATATTTTTATTTTTTTTTTTTTTTTTTTTTTTTTTTTTTCTTTGTTTTTAGTTTACTTGTATTTTTGTTTTTTTTTTGTTTTTTTGTTTTTTTTTGTTTTTTTTCTGTTAAGAAATTCACAATTTCAAAATTTCAAATACATTTTTAACCTTAAGTATTTAATTCTTACCTTGGTTACTGCTAGCAAATGAAAATCCTGTATAATTTAAACAAATATTTTTAAAATTTTAATGTCTTTTTTTTCTTTTGTTAATTATTCTTTTCTCTCATTTTTTTAATCCCACCCTCCACCCTTCCATTCATTCTCCAGTTTTAACGTGTGCTTTATTTAATGTAGAATCTGGCTGTAAGTTTAATTCTGTCAAAGTTGCAAACTTAAAAATTAAATGATAATTTAAAACTTATCTGTAAAGATTTGCAAAAGTATTTCTTGTTAGTTCAATTTGTAATTTTGATATTTTCCCCCAGGATTACTTATTTTGTGAGTTAAAAATAAATTTGCAATCAGTAATCATGTGATCTACCAAAATGTCAACATGCTCGGTTTTGTGCTATAATTGGTAAAGTTTCTTACTAATAGGTATACAAGTCAGAATACATTCTTCTACCTGATTCACAGATAAATAAAGGTGAATAAAGGACACGTGTGAAATATCTTCTCGAAGCAGAAACCTGTTTTGTACAATTTAAATTCACCTTTGGGCAAGTTGTACCTACTGTCAGCTTCCTATTTTCATGCTAAAGGATTACAATTCAAAACTTTTAATATTTTAACAAGTTACTTTTTTATTGATAACTATAAAGGTTTCATAAAAAACATATCATTTTGACTTAATACAATTATTGTAAAGTAATCACTGTACTACAATAATGCATTCATATTCAGCTATAAACTTTTTGACATTCCACACTACTTTAAACAAAAGATTAGGAAGGAAACTTCCATCAATTCCGAAAAGAGTGATAACTGTTAGTGAACAGAGAAATTTATTTTCCTGAAAAATTGTTTTCATAAAAACATTTTATAAATTTCAGCCAAGAATAACACTAGCTGCTTGGTTAATGAATGTCAAATGTTTCCTTATAAGGCAACAGCTAATATTACCATTACTAATTATTCATCTTAATTTCAGTTGCTTTTTATTACAAGTCTCAGACTGACTATTAATATATGTAAATAAAGAAGGCAATATATCAGGCAATAGAAGATAAAGAATATCTATATGATTAGATTTTAATAACTGTTAAACAAGAAAGTTCTGTGAAGGTAGCTTTTGTGTTAAGACAAGCTGATGGTTTGGAAGTTGTAATAAGAAGCAACTGAAATTAAGATGAAAGAAATTCTAGTCAAAAAAATTAATAAGTGACAATGGTTTTTTTTAAGAAATTTTAAAATTATTGCATTCATACATGTCATCTTGATAGTTTTTTTTTTAATCAGTTTCACTCCAGGAGTTACTGGGTGTGGAAGAATTAGGAATAGAACATCATACTTATTATAAAACCCAGGTTGTGTGTGTGTGTGTCTGTACGTTTATATATTGGATCGGATTTCCTACATTTTTCAACCGATTTCAACAAAACTTCACAGGACTACGTAAAATTACCTTGCGGTTGTTCTGACAAAATTGGAAAAAAACAATTGTTTTTGCATGAAATCAATTTTAAAACACAATTAAGAGGCATTAATGCAAGGGGGACAACTCATATCAAGTTATACTTATTATAAAACCCAGGTTGTTTGTGTGTGTGTGTGTTCATTTATATATAGGATCAGATTTCCTACATTTTTCAACCGATTTCAACAAAACTTCACTTTTTTTTGGCAGGTAGTGTTTCTTATTGTCTTGCACACTTTTTTCTTTATTTTTACATTCAGAATGCTTTAAAAAATTCCATTTACAAGACAATTGTTTATAATAAAATTCTATTCAATCAGTAGACTCATAATGACTGAAAACAATGTTTTTGTTTGTGTTTGGATTTGACCAATTCGTAAAAAAAAAAACAAAAAAAAAAAACAAAACAAGACATGCGTGTCCGTCAACCTTAAACAATAATCTTTGTCAATTTTATTTTTCAGTCTTTATGATGGTCGATACTTGATCTATCTCTTACTGTTACATCCCCAGGCAACGCCGGGCTCTACTGCTAGTTAATAATAAGTGTGAAGAGAAAAAAAGTAATAAGAGGACAGTAAATAGTGATTGACATTGTATTTGAATTTTTTCAAATTAAAGTTGTCTGGAAAGCATGGTGGCAGAAGGGAGTTCCAAAAGTGAGAAATACAAGAAAAGAAACTGTTAGCATAAAATTTATATTAGTTATATCTAATCAGCTCAACTGTAAATTGGGTTATTTTTATTTACTTTTTAATGATAAGGAGTATAAAATCTCATTGGTTAGACATTAGAAATGGAAACCACCAAAGGAGTTCCAAATTCTAATTGCTACCTTTTGTTTTTTAGAAAAGGCTTGAACTCCAAAATAACCTGCTTCTTTCCTAACTACCACTCATGTTCACAATCACCAATTCAACATAATATAAAAGAGAGTAAGAGCAATGATATCAAAATTTCTTTCACTATAATTCAATCCTACATAAATGCAATAATCTACAAGAGATTGTGATTTTTGCCAAATAACTAAACAAAACAAAAATATCATATGAATTGAAAATGTTATTAATGCTTATCATTAGTTTTATTTCTATTTCATACAACTTTTAGAAATTCATGTAATACTTAATCATTGGAAAGAGAAACTGCAATACTTATTTCAACAATTATCAAATTTTGTCTAAATTACAAAATGTGCTATTGTTATCATTCTATGGTCTTTTATTATTTGTAAAATACTTTTATCTTTGTTTTTATCAGTATTTTAGCTTGGCTGTTTTTCAGCCTTTAGATGAATACAGCTTCTAGTTTAAAAAAAAAAAATTTAACCTCTCAAATTCTCAAATTTTCATAAAGAAAAGGCACTACTAGTTTTCAATCCATGACTTGGTTGAATATACTTCTACTCTTCGGATTAAGCAAAACTGCTTTTTTTTTTTTTTTTTGGACTTTTTCCCTCTCTCTCACTTTTTTGCTTCATGTTTGATTTCCACAAAATGTGTGCACATACAAATTTTCCATTTTCTTTTTTCTTCTCAGGTTTTATCATGAGGTTCAAGTCTAGTGCATCCAATTGCTGGAGCTTTATTGATTATCAGTGATTATTGATGATTGTGACCTTTTGTTTTCTCTCTCACTCATCCCCCCCCTCTTTTAGATGTGTATTACCTTGTTTAGAAAATTTCATTTTTAAATCGATTCTTACGTAGATTTTTACAGAGCCATTTCGAATATTAATGCCAAGTTTAGAAGCTCTTCAACCTTATAGAGGTTATAGAATACATTACATTCTACCTGCTGACTAGGTAGTGGTTTAAAATACATCCTTATGTTGATTTTTATGGGTATATGAAACATTTACAAATTGAATGCTTTTATATTTTCTGTTCCAGAATACTCTTGGTTAAGGCGCAGTACTTATCCACATTCCTCTAGCATGACAAGAACTCATCTCAACTGAAAATAATGATTATTGAATGAAAACAATAGCCACTTAAATAATTAAAATATATTTTGATACTTTTCTGACTATTACAGAAAAGTCAATCTGTCCTAAAGAAAACCTACTCATTTGTCTGATATATCAGAAATTACATCAGTTATTTCAGAAATTCAAGATTTAAAATTTACTTAATCAAAATTTTAGCAACCATTATATACACAAAAATGTAGCATAAAAATATCTCTATAATTCAAAATCATTTCAATTGTAATTTTAAGTTTTTAGACAAAATTTCTGATGTGATTCTCTTTACTAGAATAAATTTTTTTTATGTTCTTATAAGAGATAATTTTTATTTATTTTTTGTTTAATATAGTTTATCTTTAGAAACAAAATCAAATAATTTAAAAAGTAATTTTTGGCAGAAGTAACTCAAGTATGCTATAAGTACAATAGACAAGTATACAGGATGATTGTTATTCTTTAAGAACTTGGTTGTAGCTGAGGTATTTAGTGAGAATTGTATTGGTTTTTTAATTTTGGAACAGCTGATAAGATATCTTTAGAAATCTATTTGCCTAATCTTATTATGGCAATGTATTAGTGATTTGAAATTATTTGTAAATGGCGATGAAGGCAGTGAAAGCAATGATTATCCAAGAGCAGCTGGCATGATATTTGGCAAATACGCCATTGTGGTTAACAATTTCAGCAAACTTATTGAATGGTCATAAATGTTTAGCACTGAGATGACCTGTTTCAATTGGGTGTGAACTCTTATACCCTGAAGTAGATAGTTTATTACTAAGATGTAAATGAATTGTATAAAAGCTTTTGATTCTATTATGATTACAAAATAGTTGAATGATTTAGCCTTTCTGAATCAGGTTTGAATAATAAAGATGTTTTCATAAAGTTGGAGCAAGCAGGGACATGTTTACAGAGCAATTTAGCTCACATAAAAGGAATGAAACATACCAAAATAAATGGATAAGGTGGGGAAAAAATGCTTGTGGGAACATAGACTGTCAAGTTACTTCAGTTTAGTCTGATTTAATTCTTGATATATTGAACATATACATAGTTAAAGGTTTTGTTACAAAGATAAGTCATTTTTTTTTTAAATCTGTATCACCCCATGCAAGGCAATAAAGCCACTAAGACACAACGGGTTACAATGTATGAAGAATTAGGAATAGAAACATTAATAATGTCTGAGAAGAGGAAAGAGTAATCAGGAGGAAAGTAGATAGCAATTGACATTGCATTTAAATTTTTTCAAATTAAAGTTGTCTGGAAAGCATGGAGTCAGAAAAGAGTCCCACAAGTAAGAA